TTCACCAGTAGACCCTGAAATGGTCTTTATTTATATATGGCTGAACACAGCACCTCGTCCCACAGTCACGTTGAGCTGCCAGATATCAATTCGCCCGCTGCGTTCCGTAATCGGTGCATACTGTTAGCCCCAGATTGCGTTGGAAAGCCAGCAGAGACCACCACCCCATGTTAGTTGTTCCAATGCCCATTTCGCCCACAGAGGCCTTACCCAGTGCCAGAGATCGGCACAGACAACACCACTCTCCCTTTCAGGTCCATGGCCCAGCGAGATGAACTTCTTGGCTGGACATCTCTGTGCAAAATTGTACCACTTGGCCCTTTGGCAGAGCGCACTTCTCTCAAGGTGCTTGGTGAGGGGCCCAGTAGGCCCTTCTATGTACTTCCATTCCCAGGGCGACCAACGCTGGCGAGGATCGTTGGGTGGTAATTTGTCGTCTCCCCAACGACCATCGTATAACAGCCAGTCGCCATATGCCAATTCTCTGTGGTTGTCGGGTTTACTGGTGTTACTCACTGGAGACACGCTGGAGCCATCCCATGTGTATCCCAGATAGTTCAACGATGGGTCCCAAAGAGCACCACGGTCTGTAAAGTCGCTCAAGATTCCAAATGGTAGGTCGTGGGAATGTTGGCCAGTGGACGGGTAATTGGCATGAGTACCCCTAGCGCTGAATATGACAGGTTTGCCAGTGTCCGTCTTCTCAAGGGCACTGTAGTAATACGCACCGCCACCACCATGAGCAGACATCCACACGTAAACTGGAATGCCCTTGTAGAATCTCGTTAGAGAGTGTTCCCAATCACCAATGTGATTCCCGTATGGACCATGACCCATGACGAAAGGTCCCAAATTGAAGGAGTAGAAGTAAAACCAATACGCATCTACCCACCCATTCCCCTTGTCGACAACTATTAGGGTACTTGGAGCATCCCGTATTCTTCCTGTCGATAGATCAGGCTTGTTCAGCTTACCCGTCAGCCACTCTGGATCGTTATCAAACTCATGATCCGAGGTTAAGAACAGCTCCTCGTCCTTCAAACTCTCATTCTTCGCAAATGAAGCCAACATGGGCAGTGATAAAGGTGCGTTGTGTATCACGGTATGGTTCTTCGTCTCAACGTGGAAATACCTCACGTAGTCTGCAATGTCATAGGGGAGGTATGTCTCCTCTGTGTAGAGATGAACTTTAGGACAGTACGCCAGCACATAGTCCGGTATCTCCCCAGGTGCTAACACTTTGGTATTGGCATCTAGAGGTAGAGACCCGATTGGTGGTAATCTCTTCAAATTCAAATGAGGGTTCCTGGATGCGATATACTCCACAACGGCTGTCTCGTTTACCTCAAACCCTTGGAAGTAATCTGAGGCTAGATCAATAGGCAATGAGCTCACCACTAGCGGCAGTAGTAGTGTTATTATGTGTATTGTGTTCATGGTATCTTCTCGAGTGCAATCGTGCTATGTTGCAATGCAAACTAAACGTTGAAACAGCCGGAAGATATGGCTCTTCTTTTATAAAATTTGTATAAGTGTGAGGTACTTTTTGGTGTCAAAGAATGCGAGACGGAAGCACACGGCTAAACGTCAGAATTTCCCGACCGAGCCTTTTTTCAATTTAGCCGAAAACGGCAATTGCTTTATTGGTTGATTTCCGGACGTTTTCCCGGAATTCCCATAACAAGTCAGGTGATCAGAGCGTTCTTTGGAACAACTTGGTCTAATGCTAGCATCATGTTGATCAGACGTGTGTATACTGGGTTGGTAGAGGTGGAGTGGGTGGAGCAGGTCAAGCGTATGGAGCGTGGTGTTCATTTGGCTACTTCATAAATACATGAAGTGTATATGTATTATGCTCCATCAGCTGAGACTTCTCAAAGATCTAACGAACACCTTGTTCTCTCGTGATTACATGTCTTACAAGCAGTGTATAAACTGTTCGAAGTGCCCTCATTGTGAGACTGTACCCGTTCATGGTGCGTGTATTCATCCGGATGGAAATCTCAAAGCAATTGTTGATTCTGGGGCGAATACAGTTCAGCCTACGGTTTGACGTATCGGTGATCAGCTGGTGTCAAAACATGGCATTTTGATAATCAAATTTTTGAGGGGAGATTCATAATATTTCAAATACAAAACGACCGTTCTAAACCTGCTGTGTCACGCTGTGGAACACTATCATAAGCATTCAGCTAGCTCATGTGATTGGCAATTGTAAGTTATAGCCCTCTCTCAATATGCAGGTGAATGCATGTTCCAGTCGCAATTTATCTCCAAATATGCCCGATGAGTTCGTGAGCAGAGATGGGCTTAGACATTCATTGCACAGAAGGGCCCTCTTGAACTGCTTGGTACTGTTTATTGATCTGTGTGTACGTCTCCCGTGTAAAGAACAGTAATCAAGCAAATGCTCGGTCGATCGCCAGTATATGATGATGCGGACATTTGAAAGCGTGTAGAACGAGCGCATCAAGTTGTTATTCTTAGCTGAGCGTGGGAAAAGTCAACACCTAGACTGCCAGAGTTTAGAGTCCTTGTAAGACTGACTTCCTCTCATTTGAAATAATTTAGCACTTGATGATTCAGAAAGAGAAATTCCTTGTAACAATTGTTTTTCTGGAGTCAATTTTTAGATCTGTCACTCACTCCATGGACTACAAAGAGTGACGCAACTGAAACATTGGTTAAGCTAATGAAAAATACTCAGATACAGTTCACCACCCAATGTCGTCAAACACTGACTTAGAAAGCACTGGAGCATATGAAAAGTACAAAGTTACTTGAAGTAGTTCGATGGAATACGACCTTCAATGAATGTGCCATATATACCGACGCCTACTCAAACGGCAGAAAGGGCACATGTGGTAGAATTTGAGACAACTCGGATATTGATCAATTATTCTAAACATCTTCGGTTATCAATATTCAAGTACGCCGTTGTACATGCGGTATTGACATTGAATATGATAAAGGCTACTCGATTCTACTCTGAGGCTATTAATGAAGTTTGAAGGAAGAGTCGTTCATCCTGCACAGAAAGTATTTCAGGTAGGCATTGAAAAATTCAATTCAACGAATAGAGGGGAGTACTTTTAGGCCTCAGTATTGAAAGAGTTGTGTGTTGGTCTTTCTTTTTTTTTTTTTTGAAAGAGCGGACAAAGGTGCTGTAACCTGTTATTACTACCACAGTAATGAGAGACTCATCGTAAGATTCACCTTTACAACACCGGGATGATGTCATTAATATCATGGAATTTGAGAGTAAACCGTCAAGCTGAAAACACAGAGATGACTAACAGCGGTGATAACTGTTGAATAGAAGGACACGAGCGATCAACGAGCAATGTTGTGCCAAAAGATGTAAAACTACAAGAGAGAACTCTCCAAGTGGCACTGAAGATTTGTCATAGTTGGGTGTCGATGGGTGTTGATTATCTGCTGAACAACATTGATTGCAAAGGCAAGTTTGAGCTTCCATCATCTTGGTCAACATCGACTTTGCCCTTCCTGAACAACTTCTGTCACGCCTTAAGAGACTAGTAGCCCTACCATCCACTTCACAATGATTACTTGATATCCAATAAACCCAGGGTCTCAACCAGTTACTCGGTGTCCACCACTTCTCGACTCTCCAACTTCACTGAGTTCAATTCCAATGCAAAGAAAAATCTTGACCTGTCACACTTTAAAGGCGGGCTTCAAGATAACATAGTGGCTCTACCGTTACTAATGCCCTTTTCTAACCTTATTTTCATCAGCCTGCATAAACTATGCGCCATTACATGCGAGTTTACATAAGCTTTGTGAGAAAAAGGCGAAAAAAAGTACCGTGAGCATTGAGCACTAAGCACACAGGGATGCATATTTCAGTCCCTTGGCCAGCGTCTTGAGACTTTGCTCTTGGAGCAGTGCACACTTGTTGCAAACACGCAGTTAGGGCTTACAAAGGGTTATAACTGATAGATGTAAAGGTCATAACGTGTCATTAAAAAGTATTTGCAAATGAATATACGTCTCCAAATAGGCTTCCCTTGGTGAGAAAAGGGGTTTGAGGATGAAAATGCGATTGTGCTCGGCTTGATGAGTGCACCCGGTACGTGTAAAATAGCTCAATCAACACGTACCGGCTCTGTGTAAAATTTCCGAATTAGCCTCCATAGCGGATGATGTTAAGCCCTTGATGTAACTGTCGATAGCTGGCTATCTCTGGTCTTGGTTCTATTCATCGTGACAAGTATCGAACCGTCGCTACTCAAGACGCTTCCCCTGTTAACCGGTGGCTGAGGTCTTGCCTTTGTAGATTCAGGAAGGGACGTGGATGACATCGTAGAGATGTACGAGCGAGAGCTCATTGAGCGACGAGGTCTTTGAAACTGCTGTGAATGTCTCGACTTCTTAGAGGAGGAACGCGCCATCGTGGCAGCGCCCAACTTTGGCGAAGTTGGGGAGGATTCAGCACCTGGAACTTTGTAAACACCGTTAAGTATATCCTGGCGGGTCACCACTTTAACATGTTTTGTCTGTAGTGACTTTCGCTGTTGCTTCTTAGATGCCAGCTGGTCTGTTTGCTGTTGCGGTAGTTGCCGCTGTCCTTGTTGTTGGATACAAGGTTGTGTGTCAGATCCCGTCGATGCCTTTCTCGAAGAGGACCCAGACTCGGTTGATAAATCAGCATCCAGCTGTGATGAAGATTTAGACATGGGCAAGTGGAAGAACCCGCCTCTCTTCGAAGGTATAAGAACCTCCTTGATCAACTTCGAGTGGAAACTCCAGATCTTTGTAAACACCTGTATGCAAGACAATGCTAGAGAATGGCGTTCATTGGCCTCTTTTGGAGACTCGTGTTTAGACCTTGGGCTCGAATCTCTGGCCTGCCCCATATCTGATGTAATCCAAGGCTGTACTATAACACTTGAAGCCATCTATTTGTGTGTTGTTGTTGCTGTTGCTTGTTGCTTCTTCTCTGCTTTCTTGTGTGTACTCTAAGCAAAACCTGCACCGACAAGAGAACCGTGTTTGTGTAAATACGAAGAGCAGAACACAACTGTTTTGAATTCTGGAACTCCTGGGTGTAGTGGTGATTGACGAGGTTAAATGTCTCTTTCCAGCTCTCTATGGACTCAATAACCCTCTTATGGTAATTGTGTAGACAACCAGTATAGGACAAGGAGAAAAGAAAAATGTTTATAAATGATTTCTGAGATGACAGTTCGATGCACATAAAACGTTTCAAGTTTCGGCCTCGGCAAAATATAAAACACTAATGCAATTTCCAGGGTCAAAGGCTTCTGCAGCGAGAAGCAGTGTGGATTGGAAGGAAAGGCTTCAAACACGCAAACTTGAGGTGGAATGAACAAGAAAGAAACGGAGGGGCGAAAAGAAAAAGAAGCCTCTTGTGTTGCTGGGAGACGTGGATACTCGTGTTCAAAACAATAGCCCTTCTTCGTGGGGCTTTAGGTGTGCTCAATGTAGAGAGACTGATGAATTGGTATGATCTCTCCCAAGGGCTTGCTGTCTGCGTACAAAGCTCTGGTATACGCCTGAGTTTTATAAAGGTCGGACTTTTGGGGGAATTTAGACCTGATATTTATACATCAACTAAACGAACAAGGGAGTACGGAGGCCACCAGTCTGGGCAGGCGACACAGAAGGTACATGAACTTTGGGTGCTGATAATTAGCAAAATCACCCTGCCAGCATGCTGCCCAATTTGGGTTCAGATGCATATAATTTTTTCTGTCTCTCTCAATGCTGGAAGTCAAACTCGGCATAAAACGCCATATGTCGGCTCTACAATCTCTATGGTATCTCGGGTTTGATGATGAGAGAGGTACCCGACCTTGGTTTCATGGGATTGGCCAACCTCTTCCTGATGATACAAATCCGGTGCCCCTTGTTTCGACTCTCTGGTGTCATTCCAAGCTTTTCTCGGTTTAGGTCCGTTGTTTCGACCCGGTGTCATTCCAAAGCCTTTTTGGTTTAGGTCCCTTGTTCCATCCCTTCAATGGAGCTGAGGAATCCATCAATTCCACGCGCCTGTTTGGTTTGCCACCTTATGAAAGACGCACCGTCTCGCACGAAAGTTTCCCTTGGTTACGCTGTCTGTTTTTTGTTTTTTGGGGGAAAACCTTGCTTTCCTTCGGCCTAAAGATAAACCCGAAGCCCGTACACCGGGGTTTTGGGATGTCCGTTGCCGAAGTGCTCAACCAACTCAATGGTCATTCGTGAAAGTGTGCCATTTTATGCTCCCGATAGAGAGTAAACGAGACAGAACAGAGGTGGTGATTTTAGAGGAGCATGAACGCACTCCTTGTGTGTGTGTCTTAGTGAGATGTGGTAAGACACTTGACGAGGATGTTGCGTGCACTGTTGATGTCGTGGTCGACAAACAGGTTGCAAGAGGCACAGTGGAAGGTGTGGTCGGCCAGAGACAGTGTGTCTTTTATTGTCCCACATGTCTTGCTCGTGTACTCTTCAGTCATTCTCGAGAGACGTGTCCCCGTGACTTGACATTTGAAGGCCAAACACTGGTAAAAGGCTTAATGCGAGCTCATAATCAAGTTTTTGTTCATCCCGCGGTTCCTGCTCATGCTTACCAATTCTCGACTTTCGAATGGTGGTGGTACGATGTTTTCGTACGATGATGTTAGATGTTTTATGGTTTGCCAATGATCATCAGTCACTCTGTCTGTTATTTTTTGTACAGTTTACGGCATTGCTTTGATTTCCTCGCGGCCTGCATCTCGCCTATCTTCTTCTTCAACGCCATTATTTTCTCCCTGCGCAATGAGAGATGAAAGGACCCCCAGCTGGAGAATACTCAGTGATGAAGTGCGTGCTGCCGGAGTCTAACGCGACAGTTTTACCTCGAGGGTCGTGAATGTTGTTCTTCTTGCACTCGACAGGGATTATGAGATGGAATGCGCGCAACAAGCGGTTGAAGTGCAGTTTAACGTCGTGCATAATTTCCAGGTTATCCATCTCACGACGTTGACGTTTTCCAACTTTGAACTGCTCTTTCTTCGTAATTATGGGGAAAAGGAGCCTGTCAAATGGCCGTTGTATGCTTCGTAAAATTTTCCCTGAGGGAAGGATTTTGATTTTTAGGCTTGAATTGCCCATATAGCGGACACTTTCCCTACCATAAATCAGCTTTGCTATCATTTTGCTGTGCGTTCTCGTGCCTTGACAGCAGTTTCAGATTTGGCTTAAAAGTCTACGAAAGTCTACAAAAGGGCACCTGTTTTGGGCAACAGTTGTAATCTTCGTCCTATGCTGCTGTTGTGGTTACCAAAACGCACCATTCCAGAGGGCTTCAGTTTCCGACTTAGTCGTCAAGATTCGTTGCCCACCATCTTCTCCGTATAACTGACAAGATAAACCATGGACGTCATAGCATTACAGTGTAATGAAGCACACGTTACCAAGCAATATGTATATCACATGTGTGTTCTTAACGAAAACAAGCTATCTGTGTAGATTAGGTTCATGACCATCTTCTTCTACTCATATGCGGACTGAACATGGGTTTGATTACATGTATGACAACTTAATAATCCTGTTCCTGGACGTGGTCGGAAATCGGAACTACATCATTCTGTTGGGTTGATAAAATGTTCCTGGTCCCCTGTGGTTAGCTCATGCCCCCCCCCCCTCAGTTTACAACGCATGTACTTCATAAGTTATTGAAACAAATATTTCTATAGCGAGATTGTTGTCGTCATATGGGTTCATCATTCTTCCATAGAGTTGAGAGAAAGGAATCATCAAGTTTCCTATCTTTCTTCAATGGACTCGGAATGGCCTTCTTAACCTGTGAATAACGCACCTTAAGAGCCTCCATGCGCTTTCTCCTTATTCTCTCAGATCCCGGCATAGTTGATCTACCACCGCTGTACAACAGACTCGAGGTCTCTAATGGATCACGAGTGAACTTCTGCGGTGTTATCATGGCTTCAAAGCTGCTAATTGGAGACTTCCCCCGCGTCGGCGAATCATCAGGGTCAAATGACTCATCGCTTAGTGCTCTGAAGGTGCTCTCCATAGTGTCTTCTAGTTTTGATCTCCACAATGAAAGAATTCCCCTGAGGCGGGCCCGACTCCACCGTGATCTAAATTTGTCAACAGCCTCATTGTCCCGGCGGGCTTTCATGAGTTCAATGGACCAAAGGTTAAGATACGTCATGCTCAATTTCAAGTCCCTCTCTTCCTCAAACTCCACAAGGGACAGCTGCAATTCTTGCGTCCTGAGATAGGCCAACTGCAACTTTGTCAACCCTGTAGACAAGAGGTTTGTTTCGTTCATGCCATTAGCCCTTTGTTCCAGATCGTTAAATAGATCGTACTGCTGTAACCAACGATCAAATGTTGGACGCAATAAAGTCTCCTTCAAGAAATCACGCTTAAACAAGATTTCCTGATCCAGATAAGTTTGGTACCGGTCATACCAAGCTCTCAAGGCGTTCAAAGTCCGGGTCTTGGAAATCTGTGCTTCAAACTCTGAAATCTTTGGTAGCAATTTGATCTCAACTCTGTTATCGTACGCATCATTCCACTTCTGAAAGAACAAAGTCTTGACCGTATTCCAAGGATCTTCTTTGTATACATTGGCTGCTCTGATGGTCATTTCATCGATTGACCGCTTCTTTGCGCTTAGTTTTGTAAAGAACTTCTTGATGGCCATTCTGTCTGCAGCTTTGCTATCCATGCATAACTCGGTTAAACTACGCTTCCAGTTTTCGAAATAAATGACCTTGGTATACGAGTCCATAGCCTTTTTCGCCAATTCTGAAGAGTCCATCACCTGGGTATATTTTTTGATCCATTTGTTGAGAAATATTTGCTGGACAAAGCCCTCGTGATACTTTCCCAACTTTTTCAACTTTACCTTCTCTCTCCATGACTGAAATGTACCTTGTTCAATAGACCGCTCATACTTCCTCAGAGTTAGTTTGTAATACCAAGAGCCAAAATACCTGGCCATTAATTTACCTCGTAAATTGTCCAAGAACTTTTGAGCTTTCTGATCGTTTTCAAACTTCCTTTTGAACTGATTCATTACAAACTGTTTGAGAAATTCCCTGCGCTTCTCGATGACTTCGTTTTGTTTCAACTTTAAGAATAAATTATACCTCCATAAACTCAAAAACTTCTCTTTTGAATATGCTTTGTGTATTTCCTCCAATTGATGTGTCTGGCCTAACGATCTAGACATGATACCTTTCCATTTGGTGAAAAAGAATCCACCGAGAAGAGCCATCTCCAAATCAGAAGCGCATTGCTCCATAACTTCTAGTTGTCTCGCTTTCTTTGTCCACTTGGCAAAGAAAACCGACAGGATTCTTTGCACTGTTATTGACTTCAACCTCCATTGTTTGAATATTTTACGTAACAAGTTCGTAGAGTAAAGTTCCTTGCCTTTCTCCGACGAATTAAGCCTGTCAACCCATTTGGACAATATTTTCGATTGTGTTTGCAAATCACACACAGTTTCTAATTCCTGGCATTCTTCAAAGTTTGCTCTCCAAATATCCCAAAACTTCATCGTTAATTTCACCTTGGCGAATATCTCTGCATTGTTTTGGTAATCTTCAGTTACACTCTTCAATCTGAAATACCAGGCAGCAATGTATTTCTTCTTCAAGTACAACTGCCATACTTGGACGTTCTTGTCCATTTCATGGTTCTTTCTCCTTTTTATGAGCCATATTTTGAAGAATTTGGCCATATTGTTAAACTCCCTGAAATGAAGAAAATTTGACAGTTTCATCGCTTCATTACACGGATGCTTCACAAAGATATCTATAACTTTGTATAATTTTGAATAATCACCGCCGGACCGTAGTTGGTTATAGACAGTGATGATGAACTTATCAGTTGCAGGGTCTAGCTCATGCTCTTCAAGTATGGCAATGTAGTTAGCAAAAATGCCCTGGAAATGAGCGTTGGTTTCAGTCAGTGGTAATTGACTCAGCAGCTCCTCCAACAGGTGTAAGTCTAAGGGTATTACATGCCTTACTGAGGTGGTTTGTTGTCGCTGCCCGAGAAGATCTTGCTCATCTGTACCATCATCATCATCATCATCATCCACCTGCAACTCCAGTGAGCTCCCGCTGACGGTGCGATGTATCGGTGTGATTGGAACCAAATCGTCGCCTATTATCACAGTACGTTCACTCACATTGAACCGTCTAGGCGATTTACTCCTGGACAACGCGTTCACGTCCGCATTGAGGTAACTATCTGTTGACTCCCATTGTACGCGTTCTCGTGTCGCAGCTTCTCTGTCACGAGTAGGCGACCCAAGGTCCAACTGCGTCACTTTGTTGATAAGCTCCTGCGTATCCAATGCCCTCTCTGGACGCTCCATCGTACTGTGTCCGAGCACCTCGATAAGTCACTTAGAACACCTTCAATGTTTAATACCCGTCAAAGCATATCCTTCCTCGAAACTGTTAACCGCCCACAGCGTTGTTTTTGTTTACCTTTTTCGTTGTTGTATGGCCTGGTTAGCAGTTTATGTGGTGTCCGGATGTCTTCCACCCCCAGAGTCTCGGAACTTGCCGAAGATGTCCCCAATGGCTGGACGGTGCTGATAAGATACACACGGATGTATAAAACTGGGACATCTTGTGTTTCTTTGACTTTCTCAGCCACTAACAATGCGTCGTTTGTCATAGGTGGCTATACTGTGCTTACAATTGGAAACGGTTCAACATGGGCACAATTAACAAGCTTCTTATCATCAACCCAAACTCTTCGCAGTCTGTCACGGATAACTTGAAGAGTCTGTTGCCGGTACCACCAGCAACTGAGTTAGAATTCTACACGGGCCCACCAGATGCTCCACCCGAGATTGATGGACCCGAGACTTCCAGGAAGTCCACAGAGGTTTGTCTCCCGGACCTTCTGAAGCACTACGTTGATGATTACTCGGGTTATCTGGTCTGCTGTTATTCAGACCACCCGTTAATCTACGAATTGAGGAAGCATACTGCCAAACCGGTTTTGGGTATATTCCAGGCCAGCGTTACTTATGCCCTCACACAGAGCCCTGATAAGTTTGGTATCTTGACCTCCACGTCCTCGTGGGAGAAGATCCTCGACGATGCGGTTTATCACCTGTTTGGTGGTGCGAATGTGCCACTATTCACTGGGACAGTGGCATCAAATGTTGAAGTGCTGAAGCTTGGTGATCCAAAGTACTTCAAGAAGTTGGTTGAAAAGGCGCGCATCTGTGTGGATTCCGGGGCAAAGACAGTCTTGTTGGGTTGTGCAGGTCTCTCTGGGTTAGAAGCGAAGCTGGAGGCTGAATTTGATGGCGTGAAATTCATTGATAGTGTCAAAATTGGAGCTGAATTGCTCAACTCCTTGGTTAGATTCAATAGTCTTTAAATTCATATAGTTATTTTACCTTGTGCTTCTTTGAGTGTATTCTTTCAGCAATTGACTCTGATGGCCTCTTATTATCGGTCTTTGGGCCCTCCACCTTGCGCTCGTCCTCGTGATCTGTCCCCTCCTCTTCCTTGAATTTAACCTTGGGAGTCTTCTCATTATGATTCAAGACATTTTGCTCCTCCTCCTTAACCACGTTGTTCTTAAAAAACGCTGTGATACCTCCCTTTTTCACGGGCTTGACAAGTTGTGGCCCATCATTAGACATCTTTCCAACATCTTTGGTGACTTGATACCATTCAAGTTCGTCATGGTCATGAACATCAAGTGCAACTTGAGCTATTTCTTTATCCCAGTGCCCATTTTTCCCTAACCACTGTTCCCATTCCTTTGACCCTGGCTCAAGGACGATAGGCATCCTATGATGAAGCCATTCCATCTTCTCAGGTGCAGGACCAGTTACGACAGTGTAGCTCTCAAATTTGTCTTCATTCTCCAAGATGGTTTTACTCCATAATCCAGCGAGGAACATAACCTTTCCATCCTTACGTTTGATATAATAGGGGACCTTTTCTATTCTTTTCGTCGTTCCAATGGACCTTTGTTGCCATTCATAATACCCTTCGACAGGGATAACACATCTGTGAAATTTTGAAACGCTTGCCCAAAGTTTTGAACCTTCAATTATCGCCTCTTTTCTAGCATTGAACGTCTTGTACTGTGTGAATTCATTAGGTCTCTTTGTCCAGGTCGGTACAAGGCCCCAGGACATGTACTCTAGTACTCCGTTTCCGTCTTTAGCTATGCGATAAACAGGTGCTCTCTTTGTGGGACCAATGTTGTATGATGAATAGTCGTTATGAACTTCTGAAACGTTTAAATGAGGCTCTTGGATGTATTGCTCGTACTGTTGGTGCATCTCATGTTGTAGAGCCTGTGGTTGCTAAGGAACGAACTGTCAGCATTGAACTGAAATAAAGATAGGAAAAACGCTCCCCTATCCATACCATTGACATTGCATATCTTCCACACATTATGATGTTGAAGCAATTGAATCTTCTTACGAATTGTGTTGGCCTCAACGGTGTGGATTACTTTACTCCCTTCAATCCTGACAGTGATTGACTGGAGGACGGGTATGGTGTCTGGATGTTTTGAGGTTCCTTTCACATGGTTCCTATAAGCCAGTACAAACCAGTATGAAAAGTGGTAGACTGATGTTAACAGAGCACAATAGCCCAATTTTGCTCCTTGACGGTCATATATCCATGGATTTCCATTAACTCGGTTAAAGGCTGTACGCTATTCACCTTGAAGTGCGTATGAATCTGACCATTGCTATACAACACAGACAAATAGTCTAACAGAGGTCAAAAGCCACACACGTTGATGGAAGGTAACCCATGGTCTGACCAGGTTTTTCTGGTGTAAATCAACAAAGATCAGCAACACGGCAACCTTTGAATTTGATTCAAAAACGTTTAATTTCAACAGATCACTCGATAATCGCTGGAATGTGGTATTTTTCCGAGGTTCTATGGGATTGATCTCTTCTAACGTCAAATTGACATATCAAAATCATTGGGATATTATTTGTCCCCTTAGACGGCTGTTTAAGGTGTCTTTGCCAGTGAAGATTGATGTTAATAGGAGTATTATTAATCTATGGTGACTTAGCACCTTCTACTTTGTCATGAATGCTTTGTAGCAGTCATACCCAATTCTCAAGATCTTGTTCGCAATGACGACCAGGGCCTCCTGTGAAATGGAGCAAGCTCCTGCACAGGCTATCACAGATTTTTCAAGAAGATTCCATGTAGATATTCTGATGTGCTTACACGACGTCATATTATTTGCATTAAAAGATTTTTTTTCCCTTTTTGCCTTTGTCAAATGCCAGGACCTCGTAATTTGTACAGTTTTGTTGGCTTGAAGATAGTTTGCTGTATTGAAATCTGAAACTTGGATCTGCTCATGAAACAATTCCATGAAATACTCAATCCTATGCTCTTCTATTCAAGGTCTCGACTCTGGGTTATACGCTCTAGAGCCCCCCATCTTCAGAGTCTCGCTGCATAGTAATTAGAGAAATTCCGCAACGACCGGCAAAACTCGCTTATTTTGTTGTTAATGCACTGCCCTGCGCCTTGATTCAACCGTAGGTACACACCGCTCCAATGAAATCATTTGAATGAATCCATAGTCCCCAGTAGCCAGCCAATGGCCAATACCCAGTACCAACAACGTTACGGGCATGGTTGTGAAACATGCTCGAATTGGTGTCTTGTATTAACTGGTTCTAACTCTCAGATATTTCCTTCGGCTTTGAGGCAGGCCTTGGTCATTGTTCCCTAGTCTTCAGTTATTGTCAGCTACAACAGCATGCTTTTTGAACCAATACTTGTTCGTTAATCTAAAGATTATCATCTCCGATCAATTGGTAGATTCGAAATTGGCGTTCAAAGTCAAATTGGACTGTGTGCGGTTTTTTAGTTACACTGCATTTCTTTGGGTTAAGGATGTTTACGAGTTGTATGAGGGTGGAAACCAAGCCGTATTAAGTTCAACAAAAAAAATAAGCAGGAAGTTCAGATCTCAATGTAATTAAAGAAATAATCTTCCAATGACACTTCTTCTCAGTACTACATTCCTCCAGAAATTTTTCAACAAAAAATATATAGCAAATGTTGATGTTGATTGAGGAGTGCTTTTTCGTATCCGGCTTGCAACTTGCACGCAAAAGAGAGAATGTATTAATATGAGTCGTTGCATATATATGTGGGTTTCAGGTTCCAGATCACCAAACAGACATAACTTTCGACTTTGCCACACTTGCAATATCGCATGCATGCTGATAATTTCGGAAAGTCTCCGTCATAGGTTCTCTGTAAGCTGATCACCGAACATCTTTGCAAATCGTATTAGGAGTTAGTTTCCCTATTAAGCTCCCTCATTGAATGATCCATGCATGGAGTTAAATGAACCGTTTTTCACGAATTCCATTTGGTCGCTGTTTCTGGAAATCTGTGTGATTGAAATTTGAGAGAAGTTCAATAGTAACTGCCAAGCATATGTACATTATGCGAAGTATCGTAATCAGAACAAGCGGACGATCGAAGCAATCCTCCTCTCTTCTGCACTCTTGCTGATTCTGGCGTATATTCACCACTTTCACTTAGTGTTGGGCATGTCAATACCACCGCTTATTGAAAGTTGGAACTTTCAGCAAACAACAAGTATCTAGGAAAATCGTTAAGCATCAACTGATAGTTTCAACATTTATTGGTCGACAAACGCCATGGTTTCTATATATTATCGATTGACAAGAGCCAAAGGCTGGAGTATGGAAATTAAAGGCGTATTATACCAAGCACATAGTAGTCTTTCCTGACAGTCAATTCCAGTCGCAAAACTTTTTAGATATTCTCAAAAATAATCCAGCAATTGTACATGGAGCAATGTACTTCGAAAATTTCCATTAATGCCCAAAATTCCACAATTATTCTTCAGTATGAACTTTTATGAACTTTCATATTGAGCACGTACGCCTTAAGTTACATAGCACTGAAAGTGCAGGATAAATGGTAATAACTACCGACCTGCTAAGGCGTCTTGTGGAACATTGTCCGCCAGAACAACATTGCGAAGTGAAAAGCCACACATATAATGTACAGCTATCACATTTCACGGATATCAATTGTAGACTGAGACCCTATATACGGGGCGTGTTTACGTTTCTAAATTTGGGGTAATACTGTATTGTTCGTTTGTGTTAGGAACCTGACAGTTGCGTTTGTCAGGCATGTAATACTAAAGTCAAAATCACAATACAAAAAAACTGCAACAAAACGTTTCGCAAACAAGCCTGTTGCAGAAACCACAACTTGAAGACTAATACACAACTTTCCGTATATCTAATTAACTTCAAAGAGATATACAGTTACAGCAACGATGTTACAGTATAGGTATTTCATCGCAAAATGACTAAGAGCTGATTGTAAACAATTTCCTACTTGTGAAAGTTTACGGGGAACGGTTCAACATGACATCCCTGAACTGAAGAACAGCATATCTGAGAAACGAGAATGTGTTCAAGGTTTCAATCCTTCATACGCAAAAGAGACCAAAGTCGATCGACGTGTAGTCGACGTTGCCCGCAGCCTTTCCATTTCTTGTTGGACCATTTGATACAAATCTTTTGCGAGCCTATTGGAAATCTACTAAATATAGCAGATGATCAATTACATGATTCCACTTATACAGTGTGACGCATTACTTGTGCTAGAATAAACAAGAAACACATTCTTTCAGAATGCGCTCCTCGGCTATCTTGTACTTCATAAAGCTTACAGAGTTAACAGATCATAGCACAATACAATCCATATATGAAAGAAGCCATGTGTGATGTACAGCTCAATACAACTGAAATTCTCTTTTTGAAATAGAAACCTTTTTACACCAATTTTTTGGAGATACTACATATGTTTGGCGATGTACATCCTTGCCTCAGTAATAGCAGCTTCTGCATAATCCAAATTTTTTTTCTGTAGCTTTTTTTCTTGATTGAACGGGGAACCTCGGATCAATCGTTGACAAACTTTAGAACGAAAGATTTCTATTCTCTCTTGGTTGAACCCATAGAGCGAGATTCAATGGTCAAACTGCCTAAACTAGCTCCGTAGATCCCACATTCTTCTTCTTTTTTATTTCTTAATAAGCGCACTAGATTTGTACTGAACCGCATATGCTCTCGCTTACAATATGATGCGCAAAGTTTACACGGGTACCAAAACTGGTGCTAGGCGTGGCAAATTATTAATCTTGCATTGGTGATACAACGGTGGAGTATTTGCCGGAATTTTACAGGCCCACTTAGTCTATGGGTACTGAGCTAATTGAAAGCTGATCTTGAGCTCTTAGAGGTGCTTGTCAGATCCGACAGTCTAGGATTTCTCATGAGTTTGGTCTGTCCCATTTCTAGGTTATAGTACTTCATAAATAGAGGGTCTAAAGATCAAAGAACTGAAAAACCGGCCTCCAGAAGGTAAAAGCATCAATGGAACTACAAGCTGGTAACCATTGTGGCGTCGTATGATTCTCCATGTGAACAACGAAATACATTCCCCAAACAGCCTCACAAGGTGGGTATGTGGTAATTTGTTTACTTTACGTAGTCCTCGAGAACATGAATGCCTAGTGTAAATCCACATTATATGGACTGATCATGCCTTACTTCTTATAATAAAGGCAAAAAATAACATATTCTATACGTTGGCTTGCATTTATGTTTTTCGGGTATGCAGAATTTGCGTCTATACACGCCTATGTACATTCATAAAATATCTCCTCGTTGCATTTTGCCCATCATACATAGATGCAAAGAAAAAAGGTATCTATCATTTTTATAATACAACCATACAGTTTTATGGAGTACTTGGTTATTCTTCAAGGAGAAGTTGACGCTCTTCGCAATTCATTGTGTTCACGAACGGAGAATCTAATGAACAAGTGAAAGGAAATCGTTCATCGATTAGAGACGTCCGTTGAATGGGCGTTGGCAGATGTCTGAATAACCATATATCTATCGAAACTACCGAAGCGAGAAGTACCTGCTTCTATGTACATTCCGGTCCTCGAATGTCACATCTGACAGTCCATACTTCTCATATCTAGGGTTTCATGCTATGAGTTGGAGATGTTAGGCCTTAGAATGTGCATATTAATTTGGGTCGATCTTGAGCGCTTCGTATGCATAACTTCTAGTTACAATCTGTATTCCATTAAAACATTCCTTATTCCAGAAACTCTTAAAATAGTATATAAGTTTCTAATATCTCTCTTACTTTTCTCATGTTTCAGGGAGAGCTCCTTCCTCTTTCTTCATAGAATCATTCGTTTAGGAAGTATGAAGTTTCTCACAAGTGTACTTTCCACCTTTCTTTTGGCGGCATCATATGTCTGCGCAAAAGAGGTCGATGGTGTTTTCACCTCAGTGAATAGGATCTCCAAGTCCAGTGATTCCCAAACCTCGACACAGATTCCTTTTGACTGGTATGACGTCGAAGTTGGATGGACCATCGACACAAGCAAAATCGAGACCGGTGATACATTCAGTTTGACCATGCCATATGTCTATCAAGTGAGAATCCTGAACAACGGTATTTTAAGCACTTACTTTGATATCACCAGTGACGATAAAACCATTGCTTCTTGTGACGTTGACAATGCAGGTGGAAGATCCCTTGAGACTACTATCACCTGTACTTTGACTGCTGATCTTTCCTCTTACACAACCTTTTCTGGTACTGCTGATTTCCTCATTGTCTTCGACGCAGGTGGAAGAACAGAGACCATTGAATCTGCTAAAAAGTGGACTTCTGGCTCGAACGTTGTCACTTTCAACGGTGATCTCTCCTCCCAAGTCTCTTTTTCCGGTATCAACACCAGTGGACGTCAATTCATTTCCAGAATTACCATGAGAGGTGACACCTTCTATTACTACGCTGCTCCAGCACAGTTGTGTAGAGGTGGTGCCATCTCCAGTGGTACTTTCACCTTTGAGATTGAAAATGACGGTTATGAACTTAAGCTTGAAGATGTTGAGGCTTACTACACTAACCAATTCAACTCTTTTGGTTTCCCAACTTCATACAGCAACTTGGCCATTACTTCAAAAACGTTGAGCAGTAACAAGAGAAGAGTCACTATCGAATTCGGCGCTATTCCAGCAGGCTCGCGTTTTTGGTTCTCTGATTACAGCAATAAACTTGATCAGAACTACCAACTTTACTCCGTTGTTGACGACATAGAAGTTGTCTGTCAAGGTAGAGGCAGAGATGGTGTACGTGAAACTACAAGGTTGACTCCAGTCAAGGGAGCTGCTGGAGGTGATGGTGATGGTGTTCAAAAACCTGTTACAATTACCACTTCTAGCACATGGACTAGATGTAGTACGGCAACAAGATTTGTTACGGGT